CAGACACGCCCAAAGAAGTTCTCGACCACCACGCGGTCGGACGAGATGCGTTCGTTCCGCTCCATGTCCGCGGCATCCAGCGTGCCGTTTGCTGGACGACGCTTCGGGTGGATTCCACGGAGGACATGCCCGATTCCAGTGTACCCCATGTCGGCCAAGCAGGCCCACTGAGCCGGGTACTGCGTGGCCAGTTCCCCGTGGTCGGGACGTAGCTGCTCGTCAGGCGACTTGTTGAGCATGGCCTGGTGGATCGCTTGGCGGTCGTGCAGGATGGTGAAGTCGTGGACCGACCCCGGGTGCGAGCTCGACATGGCGACACAGAGTCCCTCAGGTGAGACTGCGGCCTCGATCTTGTAGCCATACAGCCCATGCTTGCCACTGTAGTAGCGCTTCTGCTCGGCAAACCGACCCATGGGACGCAGCGACGGTTGGAACTTCACGTCCACAGCATACGCAGCGTAGGGGAAGTTCGCAAACAGATGCCCAGACTGGGCGAGACTCGCCATGGATTGCGGCGCAATCAACCGCTCGTACAGAACCGGCTCCACGACCTAGTTGAGGGTAAGAACTGGAAAGGCAGTGAAAGGTAGTCGCGTTGTTATACCGTGAACACTCGCATCACCAGCTTTTCAAACGTAGGAGCCTTGAACCCAAAGTCTGCGGCATGCTTGTCCCACGAGCTGTAGTGCTTGAGCACCGTGAGGGCCATGAAGAAGCTGTCCTTGGGGCTGGTCGTCGAGCGGCGGCCGCGTCCTTCCAGCCAGGCAGAGTTCATGGCGTCGTCGACAAACGACCACAGCGTCTCGAACTCGGAGACCGTGAAGTTCGTCAACGAGCGGATGCTCTCAGAGCCCAAGTCGGTGAGAAAGCGATCCATGATGGGGTTGTTGGGCACCTCGTCTCGCTCGGAGACGGAGTTCGCAGCGTCGGCGTACTCGATGTACGACGCCTGGAGAAAGGACTGATCGCGGACGATCTGGTCCTGCAGGCGGTTAAAGACAGCGTTGGTGTTAATTGGCATTGCTATGAGGGGGTGAATTCAAAAGTGAGGTGGCTAGAAGTGATGAGGAGGATCAAGTGGAGGCAAGCTAGCTGTCATGTTTTGATTTGCTTGAATTTGGCGCCAAAGCTTGTGCAAAGTTGACGTGATGTTTGTGTGATTCAGTAAAAAACGTTTA